CCCCCCCCCCCCCCCCGTGCCCTGTGCTGCCTGTGATAGGTTCCAAACCCCCACCCCATCACCCTGACCAGGATAAGCAGTTGGGGGGGATGGATGGATATTTTTACTAAAGTAATTGATGTTAAGGACTCTACTTAGAAACAATGACAAGCAGTTTGTCACTGCATTGCTGGACCTGCTGTCCTGACATTTCCTATTGACTGCCACGGGTCATAAGTTTTGGGTTTCTCTCATTTGCTGGCTGTTTGCTTTTGCAGGAAGTTTTCACTAGAAGACCTTCTGACCAACGTGATGATCTACTGGACGACCGGTTCCATCATTTCTTCAATGCGCTTCTACAAGGAGAACTTGGGCAGTGGCCTGAACAAGCCACATTCAAAGCAAGTACACAAGATGGCTGCATAATACTTAACATGTGGCTGTATGGCTGAAAATCTTTGTTTGATTATTGCTTGGAGGATGTTGCTCTTGATCTGAAATAAATGAGTGTGTGTGAGAATGCAATCATCTGAAACCTTGTGATTTATGATGGCATGCTTTTGTAATCATCCAAGTCATGCATATCGTCTTGTGATTCTCTGAGGTCTGTTACTCTAAAGTGTTGGGATTTTGCTTGAAGATGTGCAAAAACTTGGTCTTGGAGTGTGTATTCCAGTGGGTTAAGTTTAAGATTCAAACAGTAATGTGGAGAGGAGAATTTTTTAGAGGTGTGAGTTTGGAGAGTCGTTCACGGGCCAGTGCTGTGTAGAACACAGCTAATGAATAACACTTATGATTTTAAAGCTGAAATTAGGGAGTCATGTAGTCTTACCTCCAAGGTTGAGGTTTTGAATCCCATCCAGTCTTTGTGTGGCGCTTGCATCTTCTCCTTGTGACTGTGGGTTTTCTCCAGATTCCTCAGGCAGTTGGGCTAACTGGCATCTCTGTGTTGCCCATAATGTGTATGCACCCTGTGATGGACTTGGCATTTTGTTCTGGGTGTTTCTATGCTCTTTGCTTTTTCTATAAGACCTGGGTTCTCTACAGCTTTATACTGGATAAGCTGTGTAGAAGAGAGAAGCATTTAGCTTGATATCCTAGAGGTTGAATCAGTTTTTGCTTAGAGATTTGTGTTGTTCATTTATTGATTGGGGGGGGGGGTGGTCCTTAGCTTTTGCTATTTCCATCATCTCACCCAATGAACTCCCCTTCCTGGCAGGATCCCCGTCTGCGTGCCCACAGCCCTGGCCTCCTTCCCCAACGAGCTGCTTCACACCCCAAAACTGTGGGTGAAGCAGAAGTACCACAATCTGTGCTCCTTCACCCCCATGGCTCGGGGGGGCCACTTTGCCGCCATGGAGGAGCCCGAGATGATGGCAGCAGACCTCCGGAAGTTCATCATGCAGCTGGAAAGGGGGACGAAGTGAGACGGGGCAGGCGAGTCCAACCCTGAGGGCTTAGCTGCTGACTGCAGGACCTACACAATATACTATAAAATGTTTATCGGTTTCATTTGCATGCCGCAGTCGGCAAACTGCAGTGCAGTTTATATTAAGTAGGTATGCTGCTTAGAAACAATATTAAAGGTTCTCTACAAAGGTTATATTTTCAGATTTTTCCAGTAGTTCATAGAAAGTTTAAAATATTAAAGTATTTAGACTTTTTCTGGATCTTTTTTTGCAGTGAATAGTAGTTCATTTAATTGCAGTTGTTGGGGTTTTTTTCCATGACCCTTTATACAGTATATACTTCATGTTAGTCCTGACACTTCATGTAATCTAACCATATTTTTGGGAAATCGGAGGTAAATAAAATTATTGCTGCCATTACAGCCTTGTAAGCTCTGCTTCCTGATTATTTGGTGAGCAGCTGCATGCGTTTAAGGTCTCCAAGGTAATGGAGATTACAAGTTTTGAATCATTCTGGGGTCCTCATCCTTTGACTTAAATATTCCAGTTCATTCCACCCCCACTTGCTGTTTACAAGCCTGTAGTTGTAGTGATGAATTGGCTACTGTGGTTTGTGGAGAACTGGCAGTAGCCAAACCTTCATTCCTTATTAAAATAGCTTCCTACTGGAAAGGGTGACAGTCAGACATTCTAGACTTTTAAGGGCATGTGGTGTGTTTCCCCTGTTTGAGGACAACGGAAAGACTGAGGTAGATGACTTTCAAACTTCATTCCTGGGGGTGCATACATGTTTTTACTTTGACCTTGCAGATTATTTACACTTAAACAGGCAGGGATTAATTACCTTCAAGCTGTTTATGTGCTGCTTGAGTGATTCATTGTCCTGCATGTGTATAAATCATGATCAGCTGATGGTTTGGCTGGGAAGTTGAAATAAACAAATGCAGACGAAATCAGATATAGACAAACCATGCATATTTTAATACAATGTTAATTCTTTTAACTAATATGATTCAAATGCTGCATATTTCATGGAAGATGTAGTTTAACAGTCATGATTTAGGCGCCACAGAAGGATCCCTACTAGAACTGTACAAGAGGATCTGGCTGCAGAATACTGGGTGATCTCCACTAGGGGGACTTGCACTGTGGGGCTGGAAGTCACATGATCACTACACTCAGGCCCGGATGTGACATTATGCAAACTTCAGGAACGGAGGCCCTCATTAAGAGGCTTTAAATCACATGACCACCACAATGTCGCTTTTAAAATATATTTTTGCCATTTCGGTGGTAAGAACAGTCAATCTCATTTAAATCTACAGGAATAGATGTTAAGTCTCTTTTAAATTTGCTATTTCAGCCTGCTTGGTTCTCTTCAGCTGTGCCAAATGTAAAGGTCATGTGACTTCCGGTTCCACAGTGGAGATTCTCCTAATGGAGGTTGCCCAAGTCTAGTTCCTTAGTTACCATGCCACCTGCTGTCCACTCAGAGTTGCTGGCATACAAGCCCTTTGCAGCCATGGAACTAGGGGTCATTGGCCCATAGCTGTGGCCAGACCCCAACATTTCTCAAGCTCCCCAGGTCTGTTCCGGGACACTGCCACTCCCTTGGGGCTGCTCCCTTGGCAGTAAGTGCCTGGGGGAGGCAGAGCGGCGGCTGCGCGGGAGATAAGACCCGCTTGAAGATCCCCTCATTACCTCACCAGATAAGGGCAAGGGGAGGGAGGGAGGGAAGGAGGCGGGGTGGGGGGTGCGGCTGGATGGCTAGGCACGGGGATCCCAGCACAGGAAGGACGCCCAGCAGAGCCAGACTGTCGTCAGGAGCTCCAAGTGCCGTGAGCAGAGGCTGTCCCTCTTCTCCTTTTTTTTTTTTTTTTATTTAAATTTTTAAAAAACACGGTGAGGCTGGGAGGCTCGCCATGGTGGACAGGCATCTCGACACGGGCACCTCAGCTGCCACCTTCACAGAGATCTTCCAGGTGGAACCAGGGATGCTGTCCAACCAGGGGGGGATGTATGGCTTCAGGAACCCGGCCCGACGGGACCCAAAGAAGTCGGTGAGTTTAGTGCGGAGATGTCGCCAAGCTCTGGGCTTCGATTCGGCGACGGTCAGGTGCGAGGAGGCCGTGGCTATAGGTCAGAGGGACCACAAGGTCGTATGCCACCAACCGGCCTCCCTATCACTTCACGATCTCAAATGATGGAGAGGCTACAGTTTGAGAAGCTGTACACTAGATTGGTAACTGCGAAGCATGGCGTCAGAGCAGAGATCCATAGCACAGACGATAGAAATCGTTCTGTTGTCTCTCCCCTCCTGTAGTTGGAAAAATAAATCACCTTTTGCTGGTATATTTATTGCTACAATTAAAATCAAACATAGACTATCTCTGGATGTAAAATACCATTTACACGAAAGCTAAAATGTTCATATGTGACAAACATCCAAACTGCTTAATGTGTTGTTGCTGCAGTTGTACATTGTTTACAACGTGAACATTTGGCTCAGCTGAACATCTTCAGAACGACGTAAATCTTTTTCTAGCCATGAGATAAGATGCAAGGTGAGGCCAAACTCTCTCTTCCTCACCGGTCCCTCATCCCGCTCTGCCTTCCAGGGTATGTCTGGCTCAGGCATCCAGTCCCGGGTTCTGAGACCGCAGCCGTCCCCTGAGAACGCCGCCCGGGAGCGGAGCCGCGTGCGGAACCTGAGGCAGGCCTTCCGCAGCCTGCAAGCCGCCCTGCCCTCCGTGCCACCTGACACCAAACTCTCCAAGCTAGACGTGCTGGTATTGGCCACCAATTACATCGCTCATCTTTCCCAGACCCTGGACCAGGGAGGGGGCATGACTGAACACACGGGGCCATGCAAGGCAGGGGGATACCTCCACCCTGTCAAGGTGAGTCACTCTACTCTCTATTTATGTCTTTCTCCTGGCTCAATAGCCCATAAACCATTACATTCATCCTGAATTCAACTCCAGAACCTGTAAGTCCGCATTTATACTCATGCGTATCCTTGGTTGACCGTGTGAAAGGTGAAACACAAATGCAGAACCTCCCCTCCCCCCTCCAGAAATGGCCCATGCGATCCCTGCTGTACTGCGGAAACGTGGAGGAGATCCTGTCTGGGGCGTCGACCAGCCAGACGGGGATTTCGGGAGTAGATGATGCCCCCCCGCTGACCCCTGACCTCGGCCACAGAAATTGAACAACCCAGGAAATTCTTACCCAGTTTCACAGCAGATGAGCAGTCTGAATACATTTTTCTGGATGCCAGTCAGTCATTCTGATGGGATGCAATGTGAAATGAATAGCCATATTAGAGATGCCTGCGATGAAAAGGAAATTAAATTCCTGTAATGTAAGATGAATTGCAAAAAAGGTTAACAACTTCGGACTAGATGGACATTTTACTTATCAGGCCAACAGGCCATTGCACAAATTTATATGGGCCTAGGACTTCATTATGAAGTTTATTTTTAAAGCAAGTGTTTTTTCCCCTTATCTTCTGACTCTGACAGTGTTCAGGGTTTACACTTTTCTAGAGGATACGATAAAATAGAACAATTTCTCTTTTTTGCTGTTGTTAATTTTACATGTTCCACTGTAGATTGGCGTTGATCGGTTCAGATAAGCAGGGAGGATGGTCATAAAGGATTTTTTGGCAACTTTCAGGGACACGCAGGCAACTTTCACACGAGACGGCTGCTTTTCTGGCAGGCCGAGTCGCGTTTCACACGGCCACCGCTCAAGCACCGATGAGCACTTCTATGTGCGTTTTAATTTAACAATTTGACTTGATGATCTTAATTTATGCAGTGAGTGCCTGACTTTTTGGAAAAGGAACAGTCCAAGTTTGAAAGTGTTTCCCCCCCCCCCGATTTCTAATAAGGTAGCTACACTTTTGGATTTTAAATGTCTGGGTTTTGAATTACTGCTTCTGTAACAAGCAGGGCAAGTGAATATATATATATATATATCTATACATACTGTATATGTAAATGGCAACCATGTAACCATTTGTAAGCTATGCTACTTATGTAATATGTGTGATAGCTTATTACAACATAAACATTATAACACCAAAATATATTGTTACGTTTCGTCCATTGTTATGAAGTTTGTGCAATTCCTATTTTTGCAAAGCCAGCACCAAAAACACAGCCACGTTTCAAAGACATCACATCTGGGCTGAGGAGCTACTGGCCAGAACATCTGGAAAGGAAGAGTGGGAGATAAAGCCACTGTAGTTATTTGATTTGTGTTCTCCGGCTTGTTTTGCTTTTTTTTCTCCCCTTCACTCCTTTTCCCATCTGATTTACAAAGCTGTGCCTCTGACTAAAAGCGGGTGAGCGTTTCCTGTGAGGGTCTTCCCCGCGAAATCCTGTAAAACCCCAACAAACTGCACACCCCCCCCACCCCCACTAGGGGTAACCTTTGCAGCCAGGTGAGCACCTCTAGCATGGCGGAGCACTCCCAGGCTCACTAGTGCACACTCTTTGGTTCACGAGGAGCCGTGAAGAGCCTGGCGGACTAGCGGTCAAGGCTAACACAGTAAATCTGCTTGGCAGGCCCGATAACGCTGCCTTCTCCCTCCTCTTTATGACCAGAACAAAGTTGGAAGAGCATTGTTACAAAGGCAAGGGTTACAACAGCGGAATGGCAGGAGCGAGAATTGTTTAATTTTAGGGCATCGCAAGTGAGTCCACAGGCCCAGCCAACGGAGCCAGTGGTCAATCAGCTTTTATTTTGCGCTTTTATGTGTTTGTGACACAATAAATCAAAGAACCAACCATTTCACACGGAGACAGCCTATAAACTAAACAAATCCCTTCTTGTGATTTTCCGTTTACAGCTTTTACTCTTATCGCAAAGTGATTTAATATTAATCTCCACAATAAGTTACTGAATAGACAACTGGGCTTCAAGATGCCAAAGACCAAGTTTAATTTTGGAAATTAATTGCAAATAACTTTGGTATCTCATGCTCATTATGTACTTTGCTTTCTGACTTCTGGGTGAATTTATGACCCGACCTGGCCCATCTCCTGGGCTTGTCCGAACTCTGTCTGGGAGTTGGGGTGTGTGTGTGTGTGTGTGTGAATGAGTGACAGTACAAATCCTCATTTCCACAAATGCCAGAAATCAGATCGGTACCAATTAGCAAGTGGGTGTAGCTTCCTGTAGAGGCGAAATCCATGAGACAGAGCAAATAGTACAGAGGTTGAGGATTTTAATACTTCTAATATCTAATACTTAGTATGAGTGGTAACAGCATATAGATCTCAAGCTATGCTAGTCACTCTGGGCAAGGACAGTCTTTAAACAAATAAGTATTGAGAGGCGCAGGGTAGAAGAGTAGGAGAAAGGTCTGGAATGTCACCAAGGAGTTGGTGTAAGAGCTTGAGCACAAGGGGAGAGCGAGCAGATATCGGCAAGAGGGGGAGATACACTTGTTTTGGTCTAGCGGACTGACATGACTGCAGCAAAGGTCTCCACAACAACCGGGGCTGAGGCGGCCATACCCCAATGTTCTCAACCAGATGGTCATGTGACTGTGTGACCACGTGACTGAGGGATGCAAAAGTCACCGTGACCCACGTGAAATGTGCAGAGTAAGGGGGGAAAAAAAGCAGGGGCTTGATAACAGCCATCCCCCTGAGAGGAGACATGCAGCTGCACGGAAAGAAGTTAAATTAGAAGTTAAATGGGGGGGGGGGGGGGGTAGAGAATGTTGTATGTCTGTGTCTGGCTGTGTGTGGGAATACATTCGCCTTCCAAGCTTGGCTATAAATGGTCTTTTCATTTTATTACCAACATTTAAAAATTCCCTGGTCCAAACAGCTATGACTGGTAAGTGTATGGCAGGTCCAAATGGCCACTTGGTACTGTTGGGTGCTGATGGTGCACTTTCTGAATTTGGCAATGTCCAGCCACAGCCCGGCTCTGCGGGTGACCCAGCCACTTTGTGCCAGCTCACAGTTCCTCCTCTGGGCGAACAGGACAATTGCATTCAGAGAAGGCCCCGCTACACGTATGACAAAGACCTGCCCTATGCAACCATAAAAACGTGCAAAAATGTCACAGACCAGTAAAACTTATTGCTGCCGATGGATCGATTGACGGGAGAGATTTAGTAAGTTTAACCATTTAATTTTTTTTATGCAATCAGTACGCACGAGCAAAAATCATACAAAAAACAGAATCACGACAAAATATTGCAGAATAAAAAAATAAACAAATGCACGCAGTGAAAATCACATTTATATTTATTTTTTTTGAAAAAGGTCACAATGATTGTAAAATAAAATTCAAAAATTTTCATTTTACAAACAATCAATTTACCAAATCGCCACTGTTGATGTTTCCATTGTGCCTCTCGGGGAAGGTCAGTCACATCACATTCATCATGTAGCCCATCGACACAAATACCCTCACGTTTCTAGTTACGTTTTTGTATCATTTCACTATTTGCTTACAGTGCATGAATGTACTAGGGCATGTATTCAGTCGGCCCACCACTAGGGGGCAGCTACAAAAATATACAATGTGTGGATTCTGATCAGTTTTCTGTACTCATGCAGCAACAGTGAATGAACAGGATGAAATAAAGGCACGGCTGGAAAAAAAGACACACGTAACCAATTTTTGGAATGCATGATAGGACGTATGGCACAATGTCACACGCATATGCCAATATTGTCTTCCAGAAGCCATATTAATTTGTCCAACAGTTTATATGTGTAAATATTTCTGAACTACTTCACATTCTGAGGCAGAAATAAATGAAGTACTAATAAGTTTCCGGCACAGTTGCACAAATAAAGGGTGCATCTGCTTTCTGTTGAGATACAACAGCCGATCAAATCTCTGACGTCAAAAATCAAAATATCCCCACATGCGGGCTAGGCATTGAGCGCATGTTGCATGTACGGTCCTTCACAAGAAATGGCCTCGTCACGCTTTACACACAGACTCCACAGGGTCTGAAGCAAAACCACCCCAACGGTAAATAGTACCATTTACTAACTTAAGGGCTTCAAGTTATTTCAGGCATGGACAAATAGAGTCAGGTTAACGGTCCCATTATCCAACATACAATATTTTTCCCCCATTAATAAAATATAAATTTCAATGGTTACTTTATAACAATTAATACACTTTAAAAGGACTGTTACAACCGAGTCCAACAACTGATGCTTATTCGATCTGAAAATCAGAACACTAGTACTGAAATGGTCTTTGGGGACACGAGTAAAGCAAACCAGATTATTCTGGATGTCCTGAACTTTGAGGAAGCTGCCAACACAGACAGAACATTGAGAAAGACGCACTCTGACTGATAAAAGCGCTACCCC